CAGGCCCGCCCCGGGCGGTTTCGGACTGTGAGACCCGACTGCAGGGCGCCTGGCGCGTCCAGAATGGGGCGGCTCTACAGCCGGGTGGGGAGCGCGCCTGCCCCCGGCATCCTCCAACGCTCCCCAAGTCTCCCCCCTCGCCCCTGACACCCGGGGTCCCTAGACCTCTCCGGGCCCCTTCCTCCCACAGCCCCGCCCCCCCCCGCCCGGATAGTCCCGCTTTCCCCGCCCCGCGCGGTGCGGACTCACCCTCCAAGCGGCCATGCTCGCGGTCGGCGCGGCTCTGCGCCTCCTGCAGGGCTTGCACGGCGTCGCGGGTGTCGCCGGCCGCCTCCCGCAGCTGCCGCAGCCCCCGCGTCAGCTCGACCACGCGGGTGTCCAGCACGTGCAGACGGACGTGCAGCTGGTGCAGGCCTGCGTCCAAGCCGGCCAGGCGACCCACTGCGGACGGACAGGGCGCACACTGGACGGGGACCCTGGGGGCGGAACCGGGGGACCGGAGGACTTGGGGGAACGAGGACCTAGGGCTTTTCGGGGCGGAGTGGAGGGGACGGACTCGGGAGTCCTGGAAGGTCGGTGGCCCCGGGCTCTTGGGAGGCAGGGCCGGGGACCCGGAGTTCCTGGAGATGTGGGGGCAATAGGCTGGGCAGTGAGCAATTGAAGGGTCCCCGGGCAGTGAAAGGAGGGCTCATTTTCGCTAAATGATGGCAGCGGCCTGGTGGCAGGGCGGAGCTTATGGTAACTCACGGATATAAGTGACAGTGTCCTCAGGGGTGGGAGAGGGGCTGGGGCCGGAGGAGGGGGTTGGCGTTGCTTCCTCCTCCTCTTCCTCTCCCTCTCCCTGACCATCCTCCTCAGTCCCCCAGGCCCCTTTGTCTTCAAGGGTTCCCTCGAGATTTCCGTCGCCCCTCACAGCAGGCAGCCCCAGGGCCTCCTGTAAATGCTGAGGCAGGGGAGGGATGGTCAGGACAGCCTGTCGCCCGCTTCTGACTCCTCAGATGCTCCGGCCCCTTCCGTGACCCCATCGCCCCCATCCTCTGAGCCAATCAGCATCGCTCCCACTTGCCCTTTCCTCCCACCCTGGTGTACCCCCTCCCAAGCCCACAGTCCCCCCACCCCACCCCCAGTCCCAGCACTCCCCGGCTCACCTTCAGCATCAAGGCCTCTCTCTCCCGCTCCTCCTCCTGGGCACCTCCCCAGCCCCCCTCCCACTCCCTCTCAGCTCCCCGGGCAGCGTGGCTTAAGCCCAGGAGCTGGGGGACCACCAGGGCCCCCAGGAGCCAGGCTGCCTGCATCAGGCTGGGTTTGCAGCACCCAAGGCTTCAGAGGGATGTCTCCGGGGAGGGGGTGTCTCTGGGGACCGGAGTGTATACAGATCACTAGCCCCTGGTCCCTCTCCTCCCAACTCCTGTTCAGTGGTCACTGCTCCTTGGCGTATGTCTCTCCCCGCCTCTCCTGGCTCTCCCCCTACCCCCACCCCCAGGCCCTGCCTCTGTGGCCGGAAACCTCCAACGTTCCAAAGCCTGGATCCCGCCTTGGGTCTCCCCACACGCCCCCCTCTTCCCACTTTCCAGAGCTCACTTCCGCCCTGCTCTTTCCTTCTTCCCTGGGATCAAAAGCTCTGATGGTTAAGAAGAGGATAGAACCAGCTCTCTAAGAGATCTGGGGACACAGCCTCTGCCCGGGAACCCCCTCGGGGGGTCGTTGGGGCTGGGCCCTGCTCCCCTCTGGCCCTCTGGCCAATCCTCAGGAGCGGGGGAGACCACAGGGTCTCTCTAAGGTTGTCATTACGCCGTGGCCACCATCGCCCACACGGCCCGCTGGAGGACTTTCCCACCATTGTCAGTTTCTAGGGCACTTGCCGCCCCCAGACCTCCCATCCCGCCCTCCAAGGCCTTGTCCCCAAGATGCAAGTGAGTCTGTATGCCTGTCTGTGGGACATACATGAAGAGCATGCATGCAGCTGGAGCCCTGGGATGCATTTGGCATACTTTCCTAGAAGCCTCTGGCAGGCCAGGCTCTGGGTGGGGTGACTCCAGACAAGCAGACTGACTGTCCCATTAGATGAGCGGAAGGAGGAGGATTGTTGGGTGGTGGTGTTGAGCGGGGGGCAGGGATCAAGGAAGCTTTCCCCAGGAGGCAGAGCAGACAGATGCTGGGCTGGGTGCATAAAGGGCCCTGAGCAGTCTGCTGAGGTGCACTCCCGCCTGGACCACTGCAGTGCCTCCCGCTCCCCCTCCTTCTTGCAGAGCCCCTCCAATCCACGCTGCTTGCCGCAGCCAGAGCAATGCTTCCAAACTGTAAATCAGACCGCGTCACTCCCCACTCCCCTGCTCCCCTAGCTTCCCATCACAGGCAGGAGGGGAGCCAAACCCAGTCCTCAGCCCAGGCCTGGCCTGCCCAGCAGGGGGCTGGGATGGGCGGGCCCTCTGCAAGCCCCATCACCCCCACCCCTCTGCCCGCCAGGCTCCAGCCACACCGAAGGGTGGGTAGACTCTTTGCTGTGTCCTGAGTGCTAAGCTCCTTCCCACCTCAGAGCTTTTGCATGAGCCTTTTCCTCCTTCTAGAAGGCTCTTTCCCCAGGCCCTTCTCATTACTGAAAGCTCAGAGAGACCTCCCCCCAACCGACCTACTGTCTATCCCAAAAAGCTGTGCTTTCACACGTTGCTTTATTAAAACACCCCATTTTATCTTTTTGGTATAGTTAAGACTGGCATTGTCCCGCCTGTTTACTTGTTTGTGGCCTGTCTCCTGCTAATCGCGGCAGGCACCCTTGTTCATTGCTGTATCCCCAGAGCTAGAACGGGGCCAACCTAGCACGTAGTAGGTGCTCAATCAGGGTGCCGAGTGAGGAAGGAAGTCGCCATTCGTGGCGAGGTAACAGCTGAGCCAAAAGACTGAAGGTTGGACCATTGAGTTTAGATGGCACGCTAAGTTCCCTGAGGCGGGGGCATTGGGGCGGCGGTGGGGAGGGGGCAGCCAGGACAGAGGTGGCGAGGACAGTGGAGACAGGCTGCACGGGCAAGGGAAGCAAGAGGCCACGCCGCGCCCACTCTATGCCAAACCTATGACTCACACAGGGCTTTCCCAGCTTCGGCCCCGCTGCTGTGCCAGCGAGCATGGAGCTCGCAGCCGCGGATGGCAGGGCCCACTGTGCACGGGAGGAAACCAAGGCCCCGAGAGGGGACAGCTCGGCCTGCTAGAGGTCACCAGCGCGAGGGCAGCTAGCCAAGGCTCTGGCTCTAAGCAAGGGCAGGGAGCCTGCCCTCCGCTGCGGGGAGCCCCTGGATGTCAGGGGGACCTTGGAAATCAACACGTTCGGGCATCCATTTTCCAGGAAAGCAGAGGGCAGTGTGACCTTGGGCAGGCTGCTCACCACCTCGGAGCCTGGACCTCTCTCTCCGGTGCCCCTTAGGGGCCTGGGGATCGCCCCCTACCAGAAGCTAGAGGCCTCCAGAGATGATACGCGGGCTGAGACAGGCCTTGTAAACTGTAGAGGGAAAGGCCTTGTAAACTGTAGAGAGAAAGGCCTTGTGAACTGTAGAGGAGTGCACAGACTCTCTCGCGCTGCCGGCACCAACACAGGCAGCTGTTCTCTCCCAGGTCCCAGCTGCTCGCCACCTGGGCTGGTGGGTGTGCCTCCAGAGGGGGGCCCCCCAGAGCTGAGCTGGCACCTGCTCCAGCTTATAGGTGGTACCCACAGCCTGCAGCTGGAGATGCATCCGGAGGCTGCCTGGAACTGCCCTCTGCAGGTACCCGTGCTCCAGCTGGAGCTGGGAGAAGGGCAGGAGTCTGGGCTACGGGACAGTCTCACGGGGTCTCGTCCCTGCCCTATGAAACCTGCCCTGTCTCTGTGGGTGCTTCCCGGACCCCAGCAAGCCGAACCGTGAAGAAGGATATACAACCATGGAGCGCCCCGTGGTGAACAATAGCAGTGTGAAGACTCCGAGCCAGCCTACCTGTCCATGACCCCCAGCATCGCCTCTTTAGGACTGGGTGACCCTGGGCAAGTCGCTTAGCCTCTCTGTGCCTCAGACTCCCTCTCTTGAAAATGGGGATGGCGGAAGTCCCTGGCCCCCGGGATTAGTGGGAGAAGATGATGAGTAAATCCAGAAGGGAGCCTGGCTCACAGGAACCACTCGACAAATGTCAGCAGTGATCGCCACGGAGGGGAGCTGTGGCCGGTAGTGTGCACGTCAACGGGCGGGTGCACACCTGGGTGATGGATGCCGAGGTGGGTGAGTGTGACAGGGACGCATGCACACATCTCCCTACAGCGTGCGTCTCTGTTTCCGGGCTGTGTGTGAGCCGGCGATCTGAGCCTGCACGCTGGGCTGCATGCGTGTGCGGGTGCGTGAATGCACTCGCTGTGCTGCGTGCATGCTCTGGCACCGGTGTGACATGGCCACGTTGTAGCCGAGTGTGTCTGTGGAAATGTAGGCTCAGGTAGGTCGTATATGTGCGGCCGTTGTGCACCTGCAGAGCCGGCTAGTGACTGTGCACCTGTGCCTTGAGGGAAGGGGTGTGTGTGTGGGGGGGCGGACAGCACAGGAATCTCCCACAATCCAATTGAGGGGTGTAGAGTGCGGCCACAAATATCGATTGAGCCCTACTGTGTGTAGAAGGGGCAGCGCAGGGCCGTGAGCGTGGAGGGCACCCTCAGGGGGGCGGGGCCGCATCGCCGGGGTTCGGGGGGCAAGCAGGGGTGGAGTCCGGGTTCGGGGA